AGTAAATTAAAAACTGTTAACTATCTCAATCTCTTCACCATCCATGCCGATGCTGCCAATTGGCCCAGTGGTAAGAATCTTTGTTTTCTTGACATTTAGTTTCAGTCCATATAGGAGGCTGTAGTTCTTGATCTTCTGCAGCAAGCGCCTCAGGTCCTCCTCAGTTTCAGCAAGCAGGGTTGTGTCATCTGCATAATGCAGGTTGTTGATGATTCTTCCACCAATCCAAATGCCACATTTCTCTTCGTATGGCGCATCTTCATATATATAATATCTTATTTTTATTTAAAAACAAGCAAAATTAAACTCTCTCTAAGCCTAGAAAGAAGTAGAGAAATTATATACCAAAAGAAGTAGAGAAATTATATACCAAGGTATGTTGTTGTGTTTGTTGATTGCCTTTGAGTCGAGCACTATTCGTAGTGATCCCATGAACAAAAGGCCTTGAAGGCCCTCTACAACTATCGGTATTTATCAAAGTTCATAGAGTTCCCGGAGGCATGTTGTTTAGGAAGTGGATGCCACTCCTTAAGAGAGCATAAAAAGAGGAGATCATTAATTTTTATTTCAAGTATTTTTACATTACTTGAATTTGTATCAGTGAGTAGGTAATACTTTTGTAATAAGGAAAAACAACCTGTAAGCTTATTTAAAAGGACACCAAAAGACAAGTAGAAGCTCAGAGAGGTGAAGATACTAAAAAGACACTAATTATGGTTATGATTATAGTTTATTGTTACTAGTCCTGAAAATTTAGAGGATATCGTTGTGTTCTTAAGAGCTGTCAAGTCTCCTGAGACCCGTAGCCACCCTAAGTACAGCAGCTCTGAATCCTGCCTTATCCTGAGCCATTCTCCCTAATTCCAACACATCATCCCCCTTTGTCCCATCTCATCTAGAATCTTCCTTTCCTGCACTGTCCCTCCACCTTTCCAAGCATGATGTCCTTTTCTAAGGTCCAGCCTCTTCTGGCCATGTGCCCAAGGGATGTGTGATGGAGCTTCAGAATCCTAGTCTGCAAGGAGACACTTGTTTTCACCCTATCCAAGACAGACGTATTTGTTTTCTTGGCCGTCCATAGTATGTTCAAGACTTTCTTCCAGCACCACAATTTGAAGGTATCAATTACTCTTCTGTCATCCTTAGTCATTGTCCAGCTCAATGATGCATTGCAAGTAATTGCGAAGACCAAGACCTGGATTAGGTGCACATTAATCTCTACACTGACAACATTGCTTTTCAGCGCTCTGGAGAGATCGCTGACATCAGATTTTCCCAGTGTGATTTGTCTTTTGATTTCCTGACTGCTGGTGCCAAGATTGTGGAGCCGAGCAAACTGTAATTGTTAACTGTTGGGGAGTATTGGGGAGGAATGGAGGGCCTCGGGCCAGGACAGATCGCCTAAGCTCCAGAGACGTGCAAGCCTCCTAACGGCCTTTAATACGGGGTAGAGAAAGCTCCCCTGTGTTTGGCTGTTCGGCTTGAGAAAGCTTGCCACCTGGGAAGACAGTTGCTGTGTCTGTTGAGCTGGGAGTGGTCCACACAAAGCTGAGGTTCTCCTACCCAATCCGCATGTCCTACATCTGTAAGCCCACCCTATCCTGTCTTCCTGTTTACATGCTTGTATATAAGTGCACTGCAGTCCCAATAAAATTGAGCTGGATTGACTCTCTGATCCTCTCCTGGAGTGGTATTTCTGTCGTGTTTGACCCCATCAGGTGTCACTGTTAAGTTGCTGGTGAATGGACAGTGACAGTTAGCAACCTCAATGCTTCTCCACTTATCATAGTTCTGCCAGTTGGCTCAGTGGTGAGTCAATCCATATTGAAGACTACAGTCCTTGACCTGCAGTAAGCTCTTCAGGTTCTCCTCAGTTTCAGCAAGCAAGGTTGTGTCATCTGCATAACAAAGGTTGTTGATGATTCTTCCTCCAATCCTGATGCCCTATTTCTCCTTATAAAGCCTTGTTTCCTGAATGATATGTTCTG